ACCTTAGTCGTTACTCGCCCGGTAAGCTTTAACGTACTCGCACAAAAATTCTGCACTAGGCTACGCCTCACGCGGGGACTGTCATGATTGTATGGTAAAACACCACTTACCGGGCTAGTAACGTAATATACTATTTCATCACTCCGTACCGAAAGTAACTATTTTCAATAACAACTGATATTAAAGAAAGTAGTTGCTCTTATGTAGAGCGAGGGAAAACCAATCAGTTGATGTTCCCTCCCTCTAAATTTACTTTCCCTCACTCTCGATTAGCTCATCATTTATCCACTACGCCCGCTAGTGTTTTGTTAAGGTTTATTTTAATGATTAAAAGCAACTGTCTTCATTGCTGCACAATCTAAATGTATACCTAGAAATAGGCATTCGTTTGTTTTGCTGTGTTTTAGCATAGTCCGTGTTTGAAATCGCTCAAAATATGTCTAACATTTCCTGATGATTAGAAAAACATAGAAACCTCTGAAAACAGCTTCAGAGGTAACTAAACTAATCACTTTCCACCATAGAGAAGTCACGGGAAAGATATGAAGAAAGTTTACCAACTGGTGGAAATTACGTTAAGTCAATTCAAGCAAGCGACTGTTGAAGAATAAAGATTGTTTGCCTTGAATGAGTAGGCTTTATTTAACACAATTCAAGTAATGGAATTCATAAGTAAGAGTTAAATCTAGAGAATGAAATAATGATTACAAACATTCAACATAAACAAATAGAATAACAATGTCCAACAACAGCTGGGGATATTTTATATCACATTCTTCCCCGCTAATATAATTTGAAGTCTTTAAGATGGGAAGGTAGTCTCTTCTGTCTTGAGCTTCGTCTCTGCAATTGGGTTTCATCAGTCCCTAAGGTTGGTAGAGGCTCTTGAGTTGTAGATTCTTCTAAAACTTCTGCATTGGGATGAGAATATACATCTTGGGTTTCGTCTACTAAGTTTCCATTGTTACTCAGTTCTATTGTGTGGTTCTCTGGTGTTGAATTATCATCAAAATCTGTTATCTCAGCTAGTTTTCCACAATGAGCTAAGTTACGTGTACAGACACTGTTGTCTACATCAGCGTAATCAGAGTTTCCTTCCAGCAACGTCACCTCCTGCACTATTGGTTCATACTTAGAGTTTCTGATAGGACGTCTCATCAACACTTTTCCAGGAATCATCAACCAGAATGGTGTGGAAACACCATTTTATGATCTTCTGGGATGTCCAAACATTAATCGTTCATGTGGCGTACACTTTGTGGCAGTACAAAGCAAGGATCGGATAGAGTAAAGAGCTTCATCCAGAACTAATTCCCACTTTGTCACGTCAAGTTGATAGTTCTTAAGGGCAAGTTCTACTGTTCTCCAGATTATTGAGCGAAGCTCTTATACGTCGACTCTTATGCATTTCGTAATACGCAAACTCCTCCTAGACGGCTGAATCAATCGTTTTCAAATTTTGCATGGTGATAAAGACCATATCAGTGAGTGCCAACATCTAATCTATATGGCGTTAAAAAAATCTCTCAGGAATCCGCCCCACTGGGTCTCAAAGTATCAATGTAATCCTTATGGAAGCAGTATTTGACACATAAACAAAAACATATGATCAGCCGTTGAATTTGAATGCAGTAGATAAAGAAATAGCTGATAGCATTAATCCACAGATATTAGAACAGAAACGGTATGGATCATCATAAATATAATCAAATGACGTCACTAGCTTGAGGTCCGTGACGTAGGAAGTGGTGAAGGAAGTAAAGGTGAGCAGTCTGGTATTTGCAATCCTAAAATGCTATGGAAAGGGAGGGAAACAGGTCCGTGACGTAGGAAGTGGTAAAGGAAATAGTAAAGTCGAGTTGTCCGGAGTGTGGGAACTGTTTATGACAATTAGATTAAGGTATCTACAATATTAAAATTCTATGGAAAGAGAGGGAAACAGGTCCGCGATGTAAGAAGAGGTGAAGGAAGTAGTCAAGGTGAGCTGTCCGGAGTGTGGGAACTGTTTATAACGATTAGATTAAGGTATCTGCAATCCTATGATGCTGTGGGAAGGGAGGGAAACAGGTCCGCGATGTAGGAAGTGGTGAGGGAAGTAGTCAAGGCGAGCAGTCTGGAGTGTGGGAACTTTTTATGACGATTAGATTAACGTATCTGCAATCCTAAAATGCTATGGGAAAGGAGGGAAACTGGTCCGTGACGTTGGAAGTGGTGAAGTAAGTAGTAAAGGCGAGCAGTCCGGAGTGTGAGAACATTTTGTGACGATTAGATTAAGGTATCTGCAATCCTAAAATGTTATGGGAAAGGACAACAGCAGATTTTTACTCCATAGCGACTAAAAATTATTTTTACTCCCTAAAGAGTAAAAATGCTACTATAGACCCGCAACGCATGCATTAAAAATTACGGTCTTTACTGCAGTATGACAAAAACAATATAATATGAACCCTTGATGACTCCGCTCAATTTTGTGGATGCCTCTGCAAACGCCACCTAGTACCATTATACCTCTCAACCTGGCCATTACACTGAGGGTTGTAAGCAGTAGTCCGGCTAGAAGCAATGTCGTTTAGAGTAAGAAACTCTTTTAGCTCTTTTAATAGAAAAGAAGATCCCTGATCGGAGTGAATGTAACTAGGAGTACCGAACAATGAAAATAACTGTTTCAGTTTGCAAATAACAGTTGAAGAGGACATATCAGGACAGGGGTACGCAAATGGAAATCGTGAGTAATCATCAATGATATTGTTAGAATATACCGATTTCTTGTAGAAGAGGGAAGAGGACCCTTAAAATCCAGGCTAAGACGCTCAAACGGTGATGTTTTAATTTTCCATCATGTTTGAAGAATCTTGGTTTTACTTCAGAACATACCATACAGGAAGCAGTCATTCTTCTCAAACCTCATCAAGGGTGTATGGTAAATTTTTGCTTCTGATCCAATGATACATACGAGTTTCACCAGGATGACACATTCTTGCATTGAGAGTCAGCAGCTACATTCAGTTTACCAGGTCTATAAACAATATCATAACTATAGCTCGATAGTTCTAGTCTCCACCTCATGATTTTGTCATTCAAAATTTTCCCCGATATCTTAGAGTTGAACATGAAAGAGACAGACTTCTGGTCTGTTATTAGTTTGAAATGTCTGCCTAGCAAACAGTGTCTCCATTTTCGTACTGACTCCACGATTGCATATGCTTCCTTTTCAACCGAACTGTGCTTTAGTTCCCTATGAGACAGAGCTCTTGAGAAAAAGGCTACAGGTTTTCCTTCCTGGGTCAGTGTTGCTGCTATTACAGTGTCAGATGCATCGGTCTCAACGGTGAAGGGTAGATCAGGAGTTATGGGGGAAGGTATGGGGGTTTAGTGAGTGGGAGAAAATTTCGCGCCGTTCCGGCCAAACCTCGCATGCGGGGTTGGTTCGGCAGATTGGCCACAACCTAAACCCCAACTCTCACTTGTTAGCTGCGGAGAGCTACCTTCTGCCACTGGGTGTTGGTCCACCTACAGAACCAAGTGAGGGGGGGGAAACTCTGATTACGCTCATGTAGACAACAGTGTCTACACGTAACTTAGCTCCTTGTGGAAAACTAGCTGAGATAACAGATTTTGATGATAATTCAACACCAGAGAACCACACAATAGAACTGAGTAACAATGGAAACTTAGTAGACGAAACCCAAGATGTATATTCTCATCCCGATGCAGAAGTTTTAGAAGAATCTACAACTCAAGAGCCTCTACCAACCTTAGGGACTGATGAAACCCAATTGCAGAGACGAAGCTCAAGACAGAAGAGACTACCTTCTCATCTTAAAGACTTTAAATTGTATTAGCGGGGAAGAATGTGATATAAAATATCCCCAGCTGTTGTTGGACATTGTTATTCTATTTGTTTATGTTGAATGTTTGTAATCATTATTTCATTCTCTAGATTTAACTCTTACTTATGAATTCCATTACTTGAATTGTGTTAAATAAAGCCTACTCATTCAAGGCAAACAATCTTTATTCTTCAACAGTCGCTTGCTTGAATTGACTTAACGTAATTTCCACCAGTTGGTAAACTTTCTTCATATCTTTCCCGTGACTTCTCTATGGTGGAAAGTGATTAGTTTAGTTACCTCTGAAGCTGTTTTCAGAGGTTTCTATGTTTTTCTAATCATCAGGAAATGTTAGACATATTTTGAGCAATTTCAAACACGGACTATGCTAAAACACAGCAAAACAAACGAATGCCTATTTCTAGGTATACATTTAGATTGTGCAGCAATGAAGACAGTTGCTTTTAATCATTAAAATAAACCTTAACAAAACACTAGCGGGCGTAGTGGATAAATGATGAGCTAATCGAGAGCGAGGGAAAGTAAATTTAGAGGGAGGGAACATCAACTGATCGGTTTTCCCTCGCTCTACATAAGAGCAACTACTTTCTTTAATATCAGTTGTTATTGAAAATAGTTACTTTCGGTACGGAGTGATGAAATAGTATATTACGTAACTAGCCCGGTAAGTGATGTTTTACCATGCAATCATGACAGTCCCCGCGTGAGGCGTAGCCTAGTGCAGAATTTTTGTGCGAGTACGTTAAAGCTTACCGGGCGAGTAACGACTAAGGTACGATATTTTACATCATAATACACAGAATAATTAGTACATTTTTAATGCATAACACAATTTATGTAAAATGAAATATTGACAGTAAAATATTGCAGTTACACAAAAAGCTCCTTCAAGCCATCTTTACAGCGTAATCCTCACTTGATTGAAACACGTTATGGACTTAGTAAAGGTTGTATACAGCACTTTAAAGCAGCAATTGATTGCAGTTGTATTTAAGTTTCATATTTTTTTCAAAACCTTCAAAACCAAAGGTTTGATTCAGAATGAACTTACCCTCCCTTGAAACAGTTTAGGCAGTGAACCTATAGTAGCTAAACATGAGAATACAGCAAATGTTACACTAAATTAAGGAATAAGATAAGTCCAATCACCTTGCATGTGTCCTTCCCCGGTTGGCCACCAGCACAAATGAAACTCTCATGCAGCTTGAAGTGCATACCCAATCTAGTCTTACGTAGAGCATCCAAACAGGGGTTTCTTGAAACAATGGGCATTTCCACTTTCTTCAATATTACTTGGTAGTTACCCTTCTTACCTGAAACATTGCATAACTTTGCAAATACCTGTCATTTAACATTAAGTTCACAACTTTGTTAATTTTGTCTTTCTTTTTTCTTGCTTACTTTATGTATGTAAAACGTAATAGTTATAGTAAAAAATGTAAACATTTGTACTAAGAAGCAAATTTAATGGAATAAAACATTCAATTATTCATAGTAAAGAATTTTTTCTTTGGCATTTTAATGAGCTTCTTGGTTAACTAAAGTATCTCTTGATTTACTTTTAATACATCTAAACAAGTGTGTATCAGAATAAAGTTATTTTATCCTAGCTGTCCTGAAGCCCACTTTGCTGTGGTATGTATCTAAGAAATGTTAGGTTAAACAGGTAAAAAATATCTATGTACAAACTTCCGATGATGGTGCATCATGCATGAACCTAAAATTGCCATTGGCTCAACGCCAATGGTTTTCAGGTTGAAGTAATACCTTTTAGGCCCAGCGCACAAGGTGTGACTGTTTTTTTTTTCTCTTTTAGAAAGTATTCCGGGTTACAATATTTTTAGTTCAAGCAACAACCTAAATCAAAGCGATGGTGTAGTTGTATATCTAGATAGCTCTTTATCTGCAACCTGTAATCAGCTGTTGATCGGCGGTGTGGCCACTGCCTTATCTCTGACCTTCGACTGGGACGGACAACCTTGTGAATTACTAGCCGTTTACAGGAGCCCTAATTCTAACCTTCAATTGTTTCTTGATGGTGTTTATAACTATTATAATTCCACTTCCCTTCCAGAGTATGTTCGTATTTTCTCTGGTGATATAAATTGCAATATTTTGAACCCATCACTTAACTCAGCTGAAGAAAAATATGTTGACATCCTTAGTGATTTTGATTTAATACAATGCATTGACAAAGTAACTCGCCCTGAAAGTAACGCATGTCTTGACCACTTCTTTTTGAAATTAAAATCATTTCATTCAGCATATCCGGCGGTTATTGAAACTAATATAACGGACCACTATCCTATTGTTCTAGAAATTTCTAAACCTAGTAAACGACATCCAATCTCAAAAGATTCATTTAAAATAAAAATTTATGAAAAACTCAAAGAATCTGATTGGCAGAATATTACCAATTGTAGAGAAATTAATACTTGTACTTCTAATCTAATTGAAACTATCCAAACTATTATTCATGATGCATCCAAGAAAGTCAATGTAAACGCAAAAAGTAGAAAACTTAAACCTTGGATTACGGCAGGATTGCTGACATCAATAAGGAAACAGGATATACTCTTTAATACAGTAAAAAAGAATCCATACAACAGGCAATTAAAAAATAGATATAACCAATATCGCAACATGCTGCATTCACTAATTAAAAGCACCAAATTCAATTATTACAAGAATAAAATCAAGGAAGCAGCCGGAGATGCTAGGAAATTTTGGACAACTATCAAAGAGGTGTCAGGTAGACCACACATTCCCGCACCTTTCCCGGTGGAGGCCTTCTGTGACGGAGGCACTGCTACTCCTGACATAAAAAATATCAGCCAACAATTCAATGACTACTTTGCTAATGTAGGCTACAACCTAGCTAGCGCTATTAATCCAGTGATCCTCCACCCCGAGGTGGAGGATCATCACCATGCCTTTCATTCTGTATTTGAGCTGAAGCCAATGAAGATCAACTAATAAATATAATTAATAGTATAAAAGGATGCTCTGCTCCAGGATGGGATAACATCCCTGCAAAACTTGTTAAGACCTTCTCAAATTATCTTGTTCAACCCCTATTACATCTGATAAACCTAAGTATCCGTTCAGGAGAGTTTCCTGACCTATTCAAAATTGCAAAAGTCATCCCTATCTACAAATCTGGTGCCAAAGCTGAAATGAGTAATTTTAGACCAATGAGCCGTATTAATAAAAAGAAGGATATGCTTAAAAGGAAAAGGTATGAAGCAAAAGCATTTGCTTCTAGTAAAAGGTAAAAGTAAAAGCATATCCTTCAAACCGTATTAATAATGATTACCTTTTACTTCCAAGCAAATCCTTCTGCTCGGAAGTAAATGGTTCTTTAGGAACATCACATGTTACACGTCTGATCCTGTCTATTTTTGTCTACTGATATCCCTCGAAGGCTTAACTGTGTGTATGTAGTGTTATAAAATCTAGAGTGTGTGGGCCGGAATTTCACCCCCAGAATCTTAACCCCTTTCTAGACATATAATTTGGTTGATGATAATAGTTAGTTGGGTACATAATAATTTTTTTTATAGAAATCATCATATATGCTTTGTAGATAGCATGCAGTACTGTAACCACAGAAACCCTCGCCGCAGCTGCAGACTAAATAAATTTCCTTTTCTGGCTGTATTTCTTCTAAAATATTCCCTGACAATTGTCAGATTTATTTCCTATTTAAATAATATTAATTTTAATGAGTACCTAGGTTTGCTGATTCAAGGAAGGTGTTGAGGTGTGTTTTTATTGATATTTTGATAGCTTAGTAGGAGGTAAACAAAATACTCCCGCCACAGCAAACCTGCAGACTAAGTAAATTTCCATTTGCTTGATTGGATGTACACTAAAATGTCTCCAATATCATATTAATTCCCTATTTATGTAGCTTTAGTTTAACTGAGTACTTAGGTTTACTGCTACAGGGAGGGTAAAAAGGTGTTTTTTTTTTTTTATGTAATAGTTTAGTATGAAATGAATGCAAATTTGATCAAAAAAGGCTCACAAACAAGAAAACTACAACAGTTTAAAAATTTCTCCATAAAAATAACATGGAAATTTTAAATTTACAGTTTTTTTTTATTTTCTCCGTAGCCATTAGGCGCATAATATCGCTTCGATATACTAAATTAATAGTTTTTTTTAACTCTACAAAATGGCTTGGAAAGAAGTTGCTAAATTCTATGTTTTTAGGGTAAAAATGTTAAAATCCAATTACCCCATAAAACCACCCATAAACCCCCGTTTCCATACCCTATTATGCTGATTCGCGAATCCCTTAGAATAAACAATCAAAATCGGATCACCTTTGCTCGAGTTATCTTGCTAACGGGCAAACATATATATGAATTTGAACGGAGGAGGTTTTTGGCCTCTGGGGACCTGAAAACGGAAAAGTAAATGGGTCATAGGTCTAGGTCTTACCACGAGACCTACGGAATAGCTTTTTCCCTATTTAGGAAATTCGCTAAAATTTAGCACCACACTGTAAAACCACCACACACCTTTTACTTAAACGTAAAGGGTGTCCCAGTAAGAACGCCGGATTTGAGGATCGTCTTATCCTTATCTGTATTTCAATACAAATTCCCAAATTATCAGCTATGTTATCAGTATTAGGTCCCATTTGTAGTCATGAATCGCTACACGACGGATCAACGCGTGGTCATAGATAAAGTGCACTACAAGCACGGAAGCTGCGCGCTATTTACGGCCGGGACAATGCACCAAATGAGCCATATGTCCGAAGATTGATTTCTAAGTTCGAATAAATTGGCTCAGTTCTATTCTGGGGATATTTAAAGTCGCTTGTTTTCGCCAATAACCCTCAAACAATCCAAGACTTGAAGGAGGAAATGATTCGTGCCATTGATGGAATTCAACAGGAAGTGTGTGAAAAAGTGATGGAAAACTTTGTCAAGAGATGTCAAGCTTGTCAGTATTCAGCAGGTTGGCACTTACAAGACATAATACTCAATTACTAATCGGAGATACTAAGCTTTAAGATTCATGTTTCATATTGTAAATTTAGCATGAAAATATATGGTTTGTTAACATTTCAAATCCGGCGTTCTTATTGGGACACCCTTTATAATCTGCTACTGATCAGATGCATCATTTTTGAAGGATTTACTTCAAAGAAAAAGTAAATGGTCAGTTTTATTAATAACCATTTACTTAAGTCATGAGCAAAACCTCAACTTTCTATGGATTACCTTTTCCTTATAAAGTAAAAGGTTTTGCTTGAGTTTTTATTAATACAGATAGAAGGATTTCCTCGAATTTTCGCAAGTAAAAGGTTTACCTCTTCTTTATTAATACGGCTCAATATCTTTACTAACCACCATAGATAAAATTCTAGAAAAATGTGTAAAGATCCAATTAACTAATTATCTTGAAACAAATAAAATTTTATCTGAATCACAATATGGATTTAGGAAAGGGAAAAATACTTCCTATGTTTTATTTGACTTAACCAAATTAGTAAATGATAAAATCAATGGAAAAAATAAAATCATTTTAACTTTCCTAGACTTAGCAAAAGCATTTGATTCTGTAAATAGATCCAAATTATTACAAAAACTTGAATTAATAGGTGCAAAAAATAACACACTAAATTGGTTTTCTTCCTATTTCAAAAATCGTATACAATATGTTTGTATTAAGGGAATAAATTGTGACCCAACGATTGTTGACTATGGCGTGGTTCAAGGAAGTACACTTGGACCTCTGCTTTTTCTGGTATACATTAACAACATATCCAAATTAAATATAAATGGAAGCATATTTCTGTTTGCTGACGACACGGCTTTGGTATCATACGGAAGCACCTGGGATGAGGTTTACAATAAAGCATCCTCTGACCTCATAAAATAAAAAAACTGGTTTGATCACAATCTACTTTCTGTTAACGTACAAAAAACTAAAAGTTTGCCAATTATCCTTAGAGATAATTATGGTCCAGGACAGAGGATCCTAAAAATGCACTCTTGTGGCGATCCGGAGTCCGTCAACTGTGGATGTGAACTCATTGAAAAGGTACTAACTTATAAATATCTAGGTGTAGTAATAGATCAAAAATTATCATGGGTACCACACAAACAAAAATTAAGAAAAATGATATATGCTTTTGGGCAGTTGAGCCATGTGCTCACTCCGGATCACTGCAGGAGTGTGTACCTCGCCTATGTGCAATCCGTAATGCAATACGGGGTTCTGGCGTGGGGTGGTGCCTCCTCCGCCGTGCTGGAGCCACTGGGGGTGACACAGCGCTCTATAATAAAAACCATTCTAAAAAAAGGACAAAGATATTCTACTGATCTGCTATTCCACGATTTTCCTATGCTCAATATTAGACAATTATTTATTAAAACCCTTCTAATCTACATTAAAGACAACAAACACAAAATTTTCACACAGCCAACTCACACATATATAACAAGAAACCGATTAAACATTGGATACACAATACCCAGATTAGGTTACAGAATAGAGCTTTCTAATCCATTTTATATTGCACATCAATTATACCGAAATCTTCCTAATAATATCATTCAGGCAGAGAGTAGCAGTGCAGCCGTTTTCGGGAGAATAGTTGGAGAGTGGCTGTTACACGTCGGCCCCACGGCTGCTGAAAATTTAATTCATTCACCGTACGTTTGAATTAAAAATAATAATAAAAAATCTATTAAATCTCCAACTTATCAGCCAACCCATGCCTATGTCAAAATTTTTAGACCGGATTGATTTTTGTTTTTAAATTGTAAGAATTATTATATTTTATTTTGAGGGGTATTTTTAATTTTTAATTTGCTTTAACTTAACAAGTGTTTAGAACTTATATTCTGATGGTTCTATGTTGTCCAGGACTAAGATATTTTATTTTATTTTTAATTTTAATGAATAAGTTATATTATTGTTAACTAGAAAAGTTGTTTTATGTAAGTGTATATATTTTTTAAGAGTGACCAGTGAGTGCCATGGACTCTTCCTCACACACAGACGTGTAGTCTTGTGAGGAATATTTTTTCCTTTTATAAACTATGTCACTTTTTATTTATTGTACATTATTGGAAAATAAACAATCTTGAATCTTGAATCTTGAATCTTGTTTTACAACTTTCGTTGCAAACCAGAAGCTTTGTTTCAGTTGCAAACTGGTTACAGACGCAACTGGTTTGCAACAGTTGTTGTAAAACCACCGTGTGCGCTTGGCCTTAGAGAATTTCCCATAGGAATTACTGTAAGCTATTACCGTAGGCATTGACTATTGGATACAGAAGTAGACATTCCATCTATATGGACCAGCTGTCGCTAATTTCTTAATAGAAAAATAATGAAGTTGTGTGAGCCAGTCACAGAATGCCCTAGTGTCTAAAATTCTGTTTTCTGCCTTATTTTTTTATGCTGACATGGTTGATGGGTCACAACAGTTGCTATAGCTCATATTAAGTCGTTCCATCAGTTTTGACATGGTAAAAAACCAATTTAGAGTGTATGTTCCTTTTGTGTGACTTGTCGGTAGAAAAATAAATTTCAGTTGTAATTACTATAAATTAAGAATTAAAAATTGTTCTTCTAGTTAAGCGTTCTTTCAAGGTCTAATGGACCTTGGTCAATAGAATAAAGATAATCTTTTGGCATAATATCAATGATTATAATTTAATTCTGAGTGTATCTTCGATGAAAAATTTATTGTTATTTTACCACCAGAACATGAAAAGTTTCCTTTCAAGACTTGTTTGGTGTTCTTACTGAGTTAATCAAAAACTTTTCTCAGTACCCATCCATAACCTGGAAGGAAGCCGTGGTTCAAATATCATCACACTTCATACAGCTAAGACAGTAATGCAATTTCATTGAATAAAGCATTAATTAATGTTTGATCAGTCATTCAGTCATCAAGCCATCATATTCATTGTGTCAATTGTCATTGCTATTCATTAAATAGTTTCTCAAGGGATTCAGGGAACTACCAGATTAGATGAATTGGAAACTTTATCTTAGTTATTGAGTTGGAAACATGAGATTTAGTCAGATTCATTGTCATTCCCTGATCCTGTTAGCACATTCAGCACACAATAATAATTCCAAAACGCTAGAAACAAGCGTACACTTAATTGTTTCTAGCGTTCTTAAAAAAAAAATGCTAAACCCTTACCACCTTAAAATTGACATAAATATTATAGGTTTATCATAAATCAAATAGTTACAATCATCGTATGAACATTAAGTCTCATATGCATCGTAAAAATATGAAATTTACCAAATTTATCTTTGCCCCAGCCGCTGGCAACACAGTCTCTGCCGTCCATGATCTCATTCTGCTGAGGCAGACATAGAAGTCCCACATTGTCAACGTTCATGTCTACGGGACTGCCAAGGATCAGCAGTGCAGGGTCATTGGCTAAGCTGTTGTTGTTGAACTGCTCATGTATTATCACTTCCTGCACCAGTCTGTCCTGGGTTGGGAACAGTTCATTCATGGTCTGAGTATCCCACTCTCCCATTCGGGCCACCAGGTTGTTCTTTCTGAAAAGTGAACAACTATTTATACCCAAAAGAATGCTATAAAAATAAGTTTTATCTAAAGACATTTATCTGTGGACTTTGTGTTTAGGAATTAATTTGAACTATAAAAATTAAATTGACAGAATAGATAGATTTGTGAGTTTATCTCAAATCAGGCATTTTACTACTTTTTGCCTATTTCTACTTCTACTATGTGTGTAGAAAACATTTTAACTTTTTAAAAACTGTTTAAACCATTTAATTTGTTCTAATATGAAAAACATGATAATACCCCCCCCCCCCCCGCAGCAAACCTGCAGACAAAGCGAATTTCCATTTGCCTGATTGGGTTTTCAATAACATTAGGTTTAACAAGTACCTAGGTTTGCTGCTACAGGGAGGGTAGCGGTAGTAAAGTGAATTTAGTAAAAGGTTAATATAGTTTCAAAGTATAAAATAAATCAATTTGCATGATTGATTAAAATATATCCATAAACAAGCAAACTAAAAAAATTTACTTAATCTCCATAAAATTAACATGGGATAGTAAATTTTGCATTTTTTGAATTTTCTCCGTAACTAATAACCATACAAAAACACTTCAATATACTCAATTATTTGGTTTTTTAAGCTCTTATGTTTCGGGGTCAAAAGTGAGAAAACCCAATTTTTACCCAGTAAAACCCCCCATAAAACCCTGTTCCGATAGTCCGATCTTGCTGGTTCGCGAAATCATCCAAGTTTATCCCGCCCTACACCTTCAAGCCAAATTCCATCAAAATCAGATAAAAATTACTCAAGTTATTTTGTTCATGGACGTATACAGGGTGAATAAAAAGTCAAGACCCCCCCATCTAATATTTTTCCAAGTAAATATACAGAGATATCCTTTTGAGGGCCGGGCAATCTTAGCAGGAAGTTTCATTTTATGATTTTGAAATTTTTTAGTCTTCCCCAAAAAGAGGGGATTTGGGGGGTAACTCAAATATTTTAAATGTAAACCCCCTTCAAGTAACACTTCATTTTAAAGTGTTTACAAAAACTTAAAGAATGGTGAAAACTAGAGGTCGCTATCTCTTCTCTGTCCAAAATGGTAGCCCGTCAAAGGTTTTGGAAAATCAATGGTAAAATTGGTTCGTAATTGTAATATTGGCTACCATTTTGGATAGAGAAGAGATAGCGAACTCTGATTTTCACCATTCTTTAAGTTTTTGTAAACACTTCAAAATGAGGTGTCACTTGATGGGGTTTTACATTAAAAAGTTTTTAGTTGCCCACCCAATCCCCCCTTTTGGGGGGACACTCAAAAGTTTTATACGTTAACCCCCATTTAGTGACACCTCATTTTGAAGTGTTTACATAAACTTAATGAATGGTGAAAACCAGAGTTCGCTATCTCTTCTCCATCCAAAATGGTAGCCAATATTACAATTACGAACCAATTTTACCATTGATTTTCCACAACATTTGACGGGCTACCATTTCGGTCAGAGAAGAGATAGCGACCTCTAGTTTTCACCATTCTTTAAGTTTTTGTAAACACTTTAAAATGAGGTGTCACTTGAAGGGGGTTTACATTTAAAATATTTGAGTTACCCCCCAAATCTCCCCTTTTGGGGGGACACTCAAAAATTTCAAAATCATAAAAAGAAACTTCCTGCTAAGATTGCACGACCCCCAAAAGGATATCTCTGTATATTTACTTGGAAAAATATTAGATGGGGGGGTCTTGACTTTTTATTCACCCTGTATATATTATACATATAGAAAAATTTGAACGAATAGTGTTTTTTTCTTCCAGAGACATCAAAATGAAAAAGTATATTGGTTCCAGCTCTAGGTCTTACCGTGCCACCTACATTAATAGCCCTATAAGGTAATTCGCTAAAACAGGATCACCGAATAATCCATTGTGTTCAAAGGGTTGATTGATGGTAAAAGAATGAGCCTCAACTATATGAATAACTGCTTTACGATACTACAAACGCCATCTTATTACATTGCAGAAGAACTTGAAATATTTTAATTCCTTTTGAGATAACTTTTAAACTAAATACAACAAACTGTAATAATGCAATTCAACAGTTACATTTTAATAAATTACTGTCGCTCTATAATTTTATAGAGACATAAATTATTACATAATAATTATTATTAATCTTTCTATAAATTAAATATAGGTAGTTATAGAATTTCAATTTCTAGTACATCATGGTATAATAATACCATTCACTTTTTAAAACACTCAAATATGTGACACAAGTATATTCTGCTGGGATGTGATGTAACTCACCCTCTGACACAATGTGCTCCGGTGAGAACCACTTGAGGGTGAATGAGAGATCCTCCACACTGGTAAATGTTGACAGGTTTGCCATCTTGTACACGAGTAGGGTGAGGCTGTACCACAGCCACCATCCATGGAAACTCTCCGTACTGAGATTCATTGTCCTCAGCTCCAGTGATGCGGACTCCTACACCGTCCAAATGCCGAACGCCACACTTGTTAAGGGTTGGCTGGGGTTTCACCTCAACCACTGGTCCGTTTGCAATATGGGTGCTTCCACAACACTTTAAATCATAGGATCCACACTCGTCTTTCAACCTAAACAATTGCTTAGTTAGTTTCTCAGTAAAAAGTTTGATTTACACACTTTGCTTGCTGACAAATGATAAAGAAATAAAAATGGTCAAATTTTAAAAATAAAAGAGAATAGAAAAATCTGTTACCTTATGTCAATGACTCCAGCTCCATCTTCAATAATGGTGTTGTTGTCGCTGCACAAGTAGAATGGCACACATTGTCCACCCTCACAATCTTGGTATGTGTTGGGGGAATTTGGTTGGTACCCGTCTCCATTGTTCCTTGGAGGAGGCTCAGAGATAGGTTGGTAACCCCCATTACTATCTCCATTACCATTACCTCCGGTTTTAGGTGGTACCTGAGGAGTAGGGCTGGGGTTGTTGTTGTTACAGTCTCCACCACCCCCAGTACCAAACACATCACCGATGATACTGTCCAAGTTACAATCAGATATCTCAGGGACTGGAGAGGTACTTGGTCGCTCCAGGCCGACCCTGTCATCTGGCCCTTGAGGCATCGCTACCACCAGACTCCATGACACAATGAAAATGACAAGAACCTGAGGATCACATACTTTGGTTAAACTTACACTTTTTTCATTTCTGATCAATGGAAATTTATCAATGATCTCGCAAAAATACAAATTATTGACGAACCTGACAATAGTGCGGTTGGTAATCTTTGGTTAAAAACCTAGAACTTGAGCTTGAGCTTGGTTCATTGAAATTGAACAAATTTTATTCATCATATCTGATTGAAGCCTGAGTTGACTTTAAATATCGAGTTAAAATTGTAGTCTACCAGCTGGTGTTTTATTGTCACATGTTTTTATACTAAATTATTTGTTGATATTTTTTTGAGTTCAGTTTATTGTTTACCGTACACAGTCAATTAATAGTATATTACGTTACTAGTCCTGAAAATAGGTGTTTACCGGACGAGTGTGGGATTCCGAGTCTTACCGGTACATTTTGGACGAGTTAGGTACGATATTTTACGCCATACTGCTCTAAGCTAACTTAACAATAAAAAGTCTGTACAAATCCTTAAATATTCCCACCGACTAAAGAACTAAACATTCACCTATGTTTTTGTTTATAACCACTCATTGCCAAATATAATCATCTGGTTGGTGTCCGGTAAAAACCCATTACAGTACAGTAGTACATAATGAAACCCCATTTGATTAAGCTGGCGGCAAACAGCTGTTTTCTGATTTAAATCCTTGCGTGGGAAGTTCGTTAAAACGGTTAAGTGTGGCGTAAAAGAAATATTTTCATCAATTGTGGGTTTGTGGCATTGTGTTTACTAATGGACACCTTTAATTTGATAGCAAACTCGACCTATGCTGCTATTTAAGAATTTTGTTTGACTCCTCATGGTCCCTCCTCCTTGAGGTATAAATAAGGAATAATATAGCTTAAACGAGTAGACATCTATGACTATATTTGATTTACTAAGTTTCATTTCTGTATCTATAATAGTATAAAAAATACATGACACCGTTCCGGGACTTTTCAATCACGCTGTATATACTATACTGTATACGAAAGTAAATTGGTGCGGAGTCTAGTTTTTACCATGAGACCTACATTTACTAGCTTATGGGAAATTTTCTTAAACTCCCTTAAGAAAATTTCCCATAAGCTAGTAAATGTAGGTCTAAACAAATTACAATTTTAAAAACCAATACTTATGTAATAAGATTTCTTTGAATGGTGTTTTAATATTTGAATAGCCTGTGTGTTCACAACAACTTAAATAACATAATTAAAGTTGTATGATCTGGTTGAAATCATTAACTAAATTAAAAACATATACCTCGTCTTGCAGTTCAAATAGTGTTTTTAGCGAATTTCCCATATAGGGAATATTAGCGAATTTCCCATATAGGGATTAAGCTATTACCGTAGTACTCATGGTAAGACCTGGACCCGGGACCGATTTACATTTTCGTTTTGAGGTCCCTAGAGGCCAAAAACACCATCCGGTCAAATTCATATATTATATTTATATATATATTTATATATATATTTATATATATATTTATATATATATTTATATATATATTTATATATATATTTATATATATATTTATATATTTATTTATATAATTATTTATATATGTGTATATATGTGTCCGTTAGCACGATAACTCAAGCAAAAATGATCCGATTTTGATGAAATTTGGAATAAACCTACATTTATTCGAACGAGTTCGCTAACCAGCATGATCGGACTTTGGGAACGGGGGTTTATGGGGGGTTTTATAGGGTAAAAATAGGGTTTTCCCATTTTTGACCCTAAAACACAAAATTTTACAATTTCTTTCCAAACCATTTTGTAAAGCTTAAAAAAATAAATAATTTAGTATATTGAAGCGTTATTGTGCGCCTAATGATTACGGAGAAAATTCCAAAAAATTGTAAATTTAAAATTCCCATGTTATTCTTATGGAGAACTAGCTGGCCCGACAGACGTTGTCCTGTCCTAATGTGGTTTTATGTCAAATGCTCATTCATTTTCAAGATGAGGTCGTTCGCATGGCTCAATCACGTCCTGGTTGAAGTTCGTTCGCTACAAGGGCGGTCCCAGGGGAGGGGGGGTCAGGGGGGTCATGACCCCCCCCCCAAATATTTTTTAAATAGATTAACAATTATACCAGGGGAACCTTAATAATTTGTATTGCAAATCGTTCTACCAAATTCATTGTAGTCTTTACACTTGTGGAGAACAAAAGGACTAATTACAAACTCTAACCTAAAACTTGAGATCGTTTGAGTCTGACTATTTATTGTTTATAGGCCCTACGTTATGAAAAGTAGGGAAGATCGGCAGACAACGCACGCTTTCAGCCATACGGCAACGGCAGTGTTCGATGCTGGCGTTCGACGCTCGGCCACATTCTTTTCTTTTTTTTTTTTGCATTTAAATGTTATCATTCATTTTAACCTAGATGATTGAAAACTTGATTTGGGTATTGGATAAAGAAAATAAGATGTATCAATAGTCAAAGCTTGAAGAATAGTAGAATATTCATTTATCTGAGTTCAGCGTTAGGAATTTATTTATTTATTACAAATTCATACAAAGATGGCAAGACCCTATACAAACCAAACAATCTCAAATAACAAAACTCTAAGCTCGAATTTCTGGAATTTGTAACTACAGGAATGTAATTCAATGATTACTGTAGACAAATTTAAAACTTTCAATATTAAATTGTATTTTATATTTAGAGCACCTGATATCATATTTAAGAATAAAACATAATACAACCCAATTGGTATTTTGATAGCCACGAAACAACAGCAAAATGGTAAGATGCGGAAGGGACAGATTTAATTACCGGCACAACTACAAAAACGTTATTCTTGCGTTGACCCCTTGTAAAATGCCACAGGCGTAGAAAAAAATGAGAACACTGAGAACCTCTCTGGTCTTCAGGTGGTAGCAGTGACGGCAACGGGCAACGTTAGTTGGGTAGTGTACTTTGTGTAGGTTAACTGTTGCTTACTGGACAGGTATAATGGAGTCGTGTTGGGTGCAAGTTCTTAAACACTTCTTAGATAAAATAAGTTCTCTGGTTCGAAATCTTGGTCTGATTTTGGACATTTTCTTTTTAGCTTGCAAATCGGCACCAGTTAAAAGGGTATTTTCGTAAATCAATAATGCTTGAATGTGTTGTAACGTTGCGGTATTTCTTTGTTATTAAAACCACAAGTCTCAATAATGAAAAAAACATTAGATTATACAAGTTAATTTTTAAAAATTCATTTGGCCTTTAAATAAACTGGAAGCTTGAACACATTAATCTTGGTCCTGAAAAATAGCTTAGAAACCACTCATTTTAGCACGATATTTCCAAATTTTTCTCCTTTGCTGGGGGGTATCCCAGGCCCCCCGGTGACCCCCCCCCCCAAAATATATGTTTAGGACCGCCCTTGGTTCGCTACGCTCAATCACCTCCAGGTTGATCCCTCCCTGTTGCAGAAAACCTAAGTACTTGTTAAACTAATTCTATTTAAATAGGGAATAAATGTGATATTTTTCAGGAGGCATTTAAGTGTAAATCCAATCAGGCAAATGGAAATTCGCTTAGTCTGCAGGTTTGCTGGGGCGGGGGTATTTTTCTTATTCCACTGACTACATGTTTCGCCATGTTGGCATTTTCAAGTGGTACACAGAAACTGTATGAAAACTTATCTATGAAAATGCCAACATGGCAAAACATGTAGTGGATGAAAAAAATACCCCCGCAGCAGCAAACCTGCAGACTAAGCAAATTTCCATTTACCTGGCTGGATTTCTACTAAAATATACCCTGAAAATTGTAAGATTTATTTCCTATTTAAATAACATTATTTTAATGAGTACCTAGGTTTGCTACTACAGGGAAGGTGTTGAGGTGTGTTTTATATTGAAATGTTGATAGCTTAGTATAAAATAAACAAAATTGCCAATTTGATTAAGCAAACTACAACAGTTTATTTATTCTCCATAAGAATAACATGGGAATTTTAAATTTAAAGTTTTTATAATTATCTCGGTAACCGTTAGGCATACAGCAACGCTTCAACATACAAAATTATTTCTTTTTATAAGCTCTACAAAATGGTCTGGAAAGAAATTTCAAAATTTTATGTTTTTAGACTCAAAAGTGGAAAACCAATTTTTACCCCATAAAACGTCCCATAAACCCCCGTTCCCATAGTCCGATCATGCTGGTTCGCAAACTCGTTAGAATAAACGTAGGTTTAAACGTTTCTACCAAATTTCATCAAAGTCGGATCATTTCTGCTCAAGTTATCGCGCTAACGGACACACACATATTATGAAATATGTGTACAATGTTTGATGTGTGATTGTGTGTGATTGATGTGTGATTGATGTGTGATTGTGTACAATGTTGTTGTTGTGTACAATATGTTTGAGATACAGGGTGGAACGAAGCTAGTGTTAAAAAATTTGATGTGTTTAACAACTAAGTATTGGTGACAAAATGACGCCAATTTAAGTTTCCATACCCTCACAGGGAGGGGGTAACAGACAATTTAAGATTTTTTCCAAATATTTGTATTTGCTTACTTAAAATGGCCATAAGTGCACTAAACATTGTTTTTATTCCAAATTCATTGTCCTTTTTAGAATCCTCGTTAAATTTCCAATGTTAATAGTACAAATTCATTGATATGTAACATCTGCATAAGCCCTAATTTGGCAATAGAAGTTTGAATTTGTGATTAAAAAAAAAAAAAAAGTAATACACTTTTCCAATATTTTTCTATACTACACTGGACTGTAGAGAGTGTAAAATATTACTATAAACTTCTGCAGTTAATAATAACCTTTAAAATTATGTATAAACATCTACTGTTTGTTTGATTTGTCGTTCTCAAATTTAAGAGTTTCTCTTGAAAAACACGGAATGGCAAAAATCGCCTCCCTTTAAAATAACAAGTATTTGCTTAAATAATATGGCAATAGCTGCAATAACAATTATATTTGATTAGGCCTTATTGTAATTTTTAGAATCCTTGTGAGATTTATTGTAAGAAT